CCTCTGCCCCAGGTAATCGGCCAGACGTCGGCCTGTTCCCGGCTCTCCCTCTGCCAGCCGGGGCTGGAGGCGTCAAGGACCCGTCCCCGCCCTGCCCTGTAGGGGGCTCACTAGAGGCGCTTCTCCGCCGCGCGCCTTCAGGTCAGTGCTACACCGCACAGCCCACGGCCGCTCGCGCCCACCCGCCTTCCCCCTGCGGCGCCTGCCACCGGCCTCCTCCCGCCAGCTGTGGGGCGGGGAGAGGCGCGGGAGGGGCTGGGGGAGGTCAACGCTGCGGAGCTAAGCGCCTGGGGGAAGGGAGGGGCACATGAGGCAGATTCAGGCTGCCCAAGGCTCTGGATCTGCGGCCATTCTGCGCCGGCAGCAGTGGGGATCCCCTCCAGACGGAACTAATGAAGGACCCGTATTGTTCCTAATCAGTCGTGGGGTTATTTAAATAAGAGCCTGTTTAACATAGGAACAGTGCCCCGCAGCTATGAAGAGCCGTTTTCTCTCGAGCAGCTCCTCCCCCGCTCCCTCGGCTTGCACTCTTTGTAATAGTCTCATCTACAAGGACGATTGAAACTTTATAGTGCATGATTCATAGAGTGGAGCTGCACTTGGAGCCATGGTGCATATTACATTAATCAGTGTCAGGCCACTAAAACAGAGATATGAATATGAATTCTCCATATTGCTGGGGAGATAAATGTGCTTGTGAATAATTGATCGGCGCGCGTGAGAAAAGGAAAACATGATCACACAATGAAAGTTACCAGGAGCCTTAACTCGATCAATGATTACGTCTGGACATTGACCTCTTGCTGAATCTCCCGCCCCACCACAGCCAACGCTCTGACTATGTTCGCTGGAGTCAACTTCTGTGTGTGCACTGCACAGAAAGGGGGAGCTTCAAACAGAACCAGTCTGAGAACTATCGTTAGCAAACACATACAATAAACGGGGTTAATTCAGATTGGCAGCGACAGTTTGGCTTCTGCAGGCTTGGAACTAGTCAAAGTTTTTGAGCAAACAGCCACAAATAAACCAAAACGTTAAAGGAGTAACAATAACTGAAAGGGACCCACAATATAGGAGGGAGTCAGTTTAAGCACTTCCAGTCTACGAATTTCCTCTTTCCGTTTTCCCATTTTTCTGAAAAACAATAATTAAATACAGACTTCTGTTTTAGAAAAAGAGTTAAAAATACACACAGGCATAAACACGCACACGAACGTTCGGTAACTTTGTGTAGCTATGGAAAAGCTAAATCCCCAACAAATATTCCGTTTGCTTTACGTATATTAATTTCAGGTAGGTCGCTGTACTCAGGGTCATATAAAGTTTGCAACGTTTTCTTTTTACAACCTTAGATTTTTGATATCGTCTGTAAATGCCAAATAAATAATAGAGGGGAGAAATTAATTACTTTCTATCGTAAGGAGGTGAGGGATTGTTAAGCATACAGAAATTTAATTATAAGGGAAAGTGTTTTGATGTTTGATGATTGTCTTAAAAGAAAAAATAGGGCCCGATCCTGCGCCCATTGAATAAAGTGGAAATTTTGCTTTGGACTTCATCGGTATCAGGATTGGTCCCGTAAATATTAACTAGAAAGAAAAAGTAGGAAAGTACCATTTCCCAGTTTGCTTGTATCAGCTTGAAGCACAATTAAGACTGTTTTTCTTTGAATACTCTCCCGTGCATTATATTATTCGCATATATACATCTGCTACGCAGATTTTTATGAACGTGAAAAATATAACAGAAACTGCAAAATATTTCCCAGCGAAATGGCATAAACTATCATTTCTGGCGTTACTCACGTTATAAATAAACATACGACGTAACCATTTGGTTTCTAAAAAATATAGTTAAGAGTGCAATACAGTCCTTTGCTAAAGTTCCTCTACCTATAAACATTTCAGGGTAATTCTAACGGTACACGCCAGACAAAAATACCGCTGCACGTATTCTCTACGCACCAGAGATAAACAAGAATACAAACAAAATCGATATACAGCGCAGAGAATATACGATCCTTCAGATGTGTGATCTTTTGTCATAAAGACCCAGTGACATAATGAAATATACAAATACACAGAGACAGACAGACGGGCTGACTGACTATAATGGAAACTTGCTTGAAGAAAAATAACTATTTTGAAAGTCAATAGGGAAAAATCCCGAAATTACCTATTCGCCTACAAGTTATTAAACCTAGATTAACTCTTCTATGCTCCAGGAGTGCCAGGTGTTATGGACATACCTACGGAAGCGTGATTTCATTTTCAAGAAAGAAAGAAAGAAAGAAAGAAAGAAAGAAAGACCGACCACATTTTCATGTTCAGTTTCCATTATTTTTCTGGTCTTAATTCGGAACTGAAGCACTTTCCTTTTAGTAAACGTTGGGAATATCCTAAAAACTCAACTGGATTGAATTGCACAAGTTGTTTGAGCTGAACGCCTGTTTGATTTGAAGATCCCAGCAACCAAAATGCACTCCAGCAGACTGCCGTGAAACACAACTCCCTAACGGTCCTGAAAGTTGAGCATACGATCGAAAAGGGTGTGTGGGGAGGGAGGGGCATGTGGCGGTCTCGTTGCTGTTGTTTCATTAGTAGATGAAACGAGTTTAATTGGGGGAAATGCCGATCGGTGCTAGCTCTGCTCTCACCTCTGGCACAGGGCAGGGGTGAGGATTTACCTCCATGCCGAGCTTTGAGACAGCTCTGGCGGAAAAATTGATATTACGGTATTTTAAGGTTGGAATCCGGCTTTTCATAAAACATTGAAAAACCTGAGAAAATCTGCAAAAGAGTAAATACAAATAATCTGTGACAAACTTTGCAATTGAGACATGAGACTCCAAGGAAAAATGTCCAAAGAGCTTGCTGATGAGCAACAGAGTGATTATTATTATTATTTTATTATAACATAATATGATTATAAAATTATTTCGTTTTATCATCTAGATCCGGGGTAGTTTCGTTTGTATTTAAACAAACACATGCACCCTTCTTGAAAACTGTTTTAGAAAAGCTAAGGGCAAGTCTGTCTCCACCCCTTGGGTGATATTGCTTCAGGGAAGGTGACTGTGCTGCCTTTTACCCACAGAGGGCGCTGCGAGCCTTCCCAAGAAAGATGACTCCCCAGTTCGGCAGCTCAAGTGCAAGTGATCCAAGTGAAGCCACAGTCTCCAGTCCCCAAAACCCTTATAACCTGCAGGCACAGGCGCGCGCGCACCTCCCCCCACCCTCCCGCTCTCAACAATTAAAGTCCCCTCTTACGTTAATATGAGGCAAAGTAATCTCCCTCTTCTTCTCTCAAGCCAATTTGGCACCACCTTGTTTGCTTAGCTTCACAGAGCAGCATTGTATGCTTTTTAAATGAAAGATGCCAGTTTATGAAGGCTAAGTGTGTAGCAAAAAGAGATCCGATCCTGCATTCCTTGAGTATCATGATCTACCACTGACGGCAATGGTAATTATGTTATGAATGATCAAGGAACATCGGGCCCAAGGAAAATATGTCGGGGACAACGGGCATTGAAATGCAGCTATTTCTGTGTACTTGCTATTGAGCAGAAATTCGGTCAAGTTTATACCAGCAGTTAGTTGGTACTGTAATTGGGTTTAAGAAACTTGGATGATTTACATTAAATACTTAACTGTTTATCTCCTTCGTTCAAGTGCTCAGCAATTTATCGAAATAATCAAGCTCTATTTTTGTTTGAAACTGGAAAAGTTTAATATTAGAAAGGTAGAGTTGATTAGGATTTTTAAAAACATTAAAAAGGTTGTATGCTAAAAGCCTGCAAAGTGCGTCAAAATCAACTGCTTTCCTGGGGGGAAGTGAGGGGCACAACATACATTTCAGTCACCTCACATATTCCGCGCCAGTTCTTCTAAGAATATGATTCCATTTTAACAAATTTAAAATAAAATTCAATCATCTTCACTTCTTTGTAAACATATCTCTGAGCAGTAGTTTACATAGAAACCATCTTTGCATTCAATGATATTGCAGCTAAACCCACACCAATATTCTGAACCTTGATGGGGATTTTATTAATATTTTATTTCAAGATCTAGTCTTGTTTCAAACAACTCCTGTTCTGAGGTTTGTTCAGTTTGGATAGGGCGTCACCACATTATTTCTTAATGACTTTCCCAGCTGCTTCTTTCCATTTTCCACCATCAACAACCATCTGGTAGCTTATTAGCACCTCAATGCTCATTTCGTGTTCTCTTTTAGGAGAAAAAAAGAAGGAAATACTGAAAATATTACAAATGTTAACCGTTTGTCTTTGGAAGATTAATGCCAATCTAAACCATGCATATATAAACGGATGGCTTCTTTTTTTCTTCTGGCTCCTTCTAACCAAAAACATAGAAACTTGTAACACACACTCTGGAAAAGTGCATTTTCCCCTATTTTCTATTAAGATTTTACTAAATCTCAAGTGGAAACATCTTTCAAAAGTTACATTTCCTCTGTAGTTGTTTAAAGAATAACTGGAACAAAAATCAAAGCACAATTTCCTATTCCACTATTTTCCCACTTAGCCCCAAATATGGACTAAATACTGTCAATCCAATTTATAAATTGATTTTTAAAGTCAAGTTATATGTTAGCGAAGTGAGAGAAAACTTCTCTCTTTTTTTACTTTCAAAAAAATTAATTGTATAGAGTAACTGGAAATCAAACCACCTACACTTTTGAAGATCATATGTGTCTGAGCATTTTTGTCCCTTACTTGTTGAAAGGATAATTATCATCTAGCTAGCCAACAAAAATTGCACTCCGTTTTTTAAATGTACATGTATGGAATACAAAATTCGCAGCTTGGCTTATAGGATATACCTTTCACTAACAGTAAAGTAAAGCCTCTATTTGATGATTTTAAGGTACAACTACCTAAGGAAAAAATCCTGTAATATTTAGGAGGAAAACAATACACGTTTGATTAGATGTCTAATTTAAATTTAAATTCTGCAACAACAAAATACATACCTGAGGAGATTTCATAATTTCATTTAGTTTATTAGACAAAAATATATGATTTAGACAAGTTTTGCTGACGCCCTATATACAATCTGAAATCACTCTATATACAGAAAAAACACAAACACATGGGAAACATTTACCAAACAAATAATTCAAGAATGGTTAGAGTAACACGATCTGAAATGGTACAATGGAGAAGGGGGATCCATCTACAGATTTGTGTGATCGCTTTTATGGATTTGCACCACCTTATTGCAAAGAGAGATTGATGGGAGTCGTTTATATCGTTTCAATTTTTTTGTCCTTTATACCAGTCTCTGAAATATTTTTTTCACCAACCCATTTAATCAAGCAGAAGGGAGAGCTGTTAAAATTCGCGGTGTTCCCTCTTGCTGAGCCAAAGAGCTGTTGGGGGAAAAAAGACGCAACAATCTATCAGTAAAAAGAGTGAAAGCATCGCTACGGTGTCTGTCTGTTGATATAACTGCCTGACATTAGCTAACTACACAGAAATATTTTTCTAGGACATAAATGCCAAGGATATTTGAGATTTGTTAAGTTTCAAAAAAGTTACAAACTGGCTATGGACACTTGTAAGCTATTCTACTTTTGAAAGGATTATAGCAGGAAACGCTGTATTATCCTTGTTGTTTTATGTATTAATATGAAGATGAGTAGTCGTTATAATTAGTATTTATTATTCAAATACTCTGTGTCACATAAGTAACATTCCTTCAGTGAAGAATAACTCACTTGTCACGCACAGGCTGGAAAGGCGATTTTAACTGCTGGGGTGGGGTTTCAGTCCTTGGTGCATTTTCTCTTTCTGGAGGAAAAGAAAACCCAAGAAACATCTTAGAAAAACACATACTCACGCGCACTCACACATGTACCTAAGCAGACATATAGGTATCAGTTCACGTTTGTATTGTCTTCATTGATTATTTGTTATTCCAAAGCAGATTTAGGTTATACTTGCCACTTTTTTTGTTTTTTGTTTTGTTGAATCACTTTGAAGCCGAGGGCTTTGAACTAAACAACAAAACAAAGGAAAGCTCTGGGGATAAGTTAAATAGCGCTACCCTAACGATTTTAACTTATTTTTGAGGTGCCTGGTGTGTGACTGGTAGTGTTCTACATGAAAGACACTAATGCATATTAATTAACACGCCAAATTCAGCCCTAGAGTAAACTAGGTGGAAGTCTGTTTAAAGACAGTGAGTTACAACAAGGCTGTATCTGACCCCATTTTTAAAAAAATAAACAGCTCTCCACCGTATTTTGGGAGATCGCTGCTTGGTGTATTACCTATGTGTTTGGGACTGGTCCTCTCTGTAGGTTTTTCACTGCTTAAGGCTCCCAGGGTTGCTGTTAACACAGAAGGCTGTTGCTGGGCCTGGATATGGTGGTTATGATGAGCAGCATGATGGTGGTTTACTCCCAAAAAAGACCTCACATTTAACAGGGAACTCTGAGTGAGGAAAGCCCCATTTGTCCAGTTGTGAAATTTGCCAATCTGGCATGTGTAGAGTCCATGGCTAGGGAGGAAAGCCGGGTGCTGAATCTGGGTGGAAGTGTGGTTAACCTGGGAATGAGAAGAGGGGGGAGGGGAAGACTTCAGGGCGCCATCAGGGCTGGTTGCTGTCTCTGCCAAAGACCAAATCTTGGGTTTGCTGTGAGGTGGCACCTGTAAATTATTCTGTCCATTGGGGTTTATGATTCGTGTACTGTTGTCAGAGGTCTCCTTTACCAGGGAGAAAGAGTCTTTGGGTTTAAGACCTTCAGACGCTGACAATGACAAACCCTTTTCTTTTTCCAAATGTTCATCTTCGCTGCTTTGTCGCAGGAGCTCAGATTTCTCCTCCTCTTCTTCATTACTCTGCTCCCCATCATTCTCATCGATTTTATCAATGTCTATGCTTTCCAGGTCGATTTCTTCGTCGTCTTCATTCTTTTCGGGGTCTCCCTCGTTGTCACTCCCAAAGAGGTTACCATCTTCTTGGTCCTTACTCCTTGCTCCCCAAGTTACTTTGTTCTCCTTCTTGAGTCTCCTTCTGGCGTTGGCGAACCAGGTGGAGACCTGGGTTAGGGTCATCTTGGTGATGATGGCCAGCATGATCTTCTCGCCCTTGGTGGGGTAGGGGTTCTTCCTGTGCTCATTCAGCCAGGCCTTTAGAGTGCTAGTGCTCTCCCTGGTGGCATTCTTAGGCCGCCCTGGGTCCCCATATTGGAACTGTCCATAGGGGTAATAGCCAGGGGCAGTGTGGGCAGCAAAGGTAGCAGGGTGGACACCTGGATTATCCTTCAGTTCATACTGGGAGCCCTGCAACACATTCAGACAAGCAGAGAAGAAAAGAAAATGAGTTCTCTTGTTAATGTCTCGAACAGACCTGAATATGTTGCTGCTGCAGTTTGTTCCCTTCTTAAGAGAGATCCGTCTTTCCCCTCACTACACCGGCAGGGATATAGCAGGGCATGAATACGCCTCTACAATACAGCAAGGGATCTTTACAGTAAAACTTTGGCCTCCTCATTCTTGATTATTCACATTTAGTTTGAACAGAACTGTTCCCAAATTACTCCCCTTCTTGTGGTGAAAGGGAAGAGTGACTGCACAGGGATCTGCTAAACGTTAGACCTATTTTCGGCACTTCCACCACTCCTCAACCCTCTGAGCCCTCACCTCCAGGCAAATCAAATCAAACGATGCAAATTTAATGTTTTCACATTTATCTCGACGAATCAGTTTTATTGCGTATTTAAAATAAGCACGCAGCAAAAAGGAGAGATTACCTCACACTTACAAATTTAACGTCAGCACATATTAATAATATACCTATTTTCAAAATAGGAGCGTATGTCACAATTAAATCCGAAGTATCTTTATTTAGCCTCCAATCAGTGTTAAAAAGTAGTTTGCTAACAGGTTAAATTAGTCGAGAAAGGTAACATGCGATTTTGAATGGCAAACACTAAAATGTGAAATATTTCACAAGCACCCACAAACCTCAGACGTGTCCTATAAAATATTAACTGGTTAGAAACGAGCCCTTGTACGCTGGAATGGAGACGGATTCATACTCATGATATATATGCATGCAGTTACTTTAACTCTTAAGTTTTACTTTGATTTGAGAAAATTGTTTCCGAGCGTTTAGAGATGGTGATTTATTTGCAATCAATATTCTTTTTATCATCAGTAGTAAAACACAGCAAGTCAAATTATCCCATCAGGTGTTTTGATAAATAACATTTTATCTTTCTAACAAGCTCATTAGGCCTCATTATTATCGCAAATTGTTCAGACAGTCACATAATATTTTACCTCTTTATTTCCAAATAATAAAAAGCCCAGAAATTAAATCAGGATATTATCATCCATTTTAAGAATTGCCACTGTATGCAAACATACAGATATCTTTGCAAGTAGCAAATTGGAATATTCTTAAATATTTTAATACTGAAACCACCTTGTATTTCTGTTTTTGTTCCGTTCAATACAACCCTGCTCTATTTATGCTTGACTATATTCATGATCTTAATACTTGCAAAACGTTATAAAAGCCGTTTTGAAAAATAAAAGTTCAAAACGTCTTTAATTTTCAAAAAGTATCAAATGTCTTTGCAAAGAAACTGATTTAACTTTGGCGGGCAGTTGAAAAGGACCATGTATTTTAATTTCATAGGCCAGGGTTATACACAGTCCACAAAGAAAAGAATGCCATCTTTAAAAGGCCAGATGTAATGTTTATTATAATTTGTCACAGAGTAGTCTTTCTACACTCCCTTTATTCCGTTGTTTTATATTACTGTATCTGACATTATATTTCTCTGTAATCTCTGTTGGGAATTCTTTTGAAGGAGTCACTTGCAAATCACTCATTGCTTCTGTGTCAACTTCTACTGTATTAGCAAAATAGAGGTACAATATTAAATACGTTTTATAATAAAAAGATTCGTAAAATGATTGTATCATAAAATGACCTCATTCCAAATGTCTTCTCTTGTTCAAATAATATTTTTTTTTAAAAACTGCACAATAGATTCCTTACGTGTGCATAGTTATAAATATTCACATCCTATACCTTACTGGGGGGAGGGGAGAAAGCAGAAGGAGGGGGGTTAAGAGGTGTTTAAAAAAAATCGAAACCTAAGAACGTCATCACTCAGAAATTCAGGTATTTTATCTATTAGTAAGAAAATATTTCAACAAAAAACACAGGTAAAAGGAGTTAGTTAACAAACTGATCTGTTTAGCTTTTCCTTGGGTAAATTCTCTAGCAACAAATCCAAAGACAATAATAAAAAATGTTATAGACAAATTAATGACAATGTACTTCTCTACTTCAATGTAGATACACTATTTTACTTGATGCAACTTAAATCTGTGAAGCTTAAAATAAAGTATAAAAAGTATATGCAACTAAACAGGCGATTTCAAGCCTTGAGCAAAACGTCTGAAGTAAGGAAATACGCCAACTACTTAGAATGCTCTCTAGTCTTTTTGTTTTCTCTTTTACAAACGGACTCGTTTATAGCTCCACAGTCAAATAAAATTTCCAGACGGAAAGGTGTTAAAGGAATCTTATTAAAGCCGGTTTAAAAAACAACAAAAAATCATTAGTAATTTTCTTAAACGGAAAGTTGAGTTGCTAGGGTAATCCAACAACAAGGACAGGACTCCTGCCCAGAAAATCCACTACCAACAAGAAAATTATATGGAGTTTGCTCCCGGCTGGAGTAGCGGCCGATCAGCCCAGTGCCCAGAGACACCCCCGCATACGCACACACACTTTCTCCATATCAGACCCCTCTCTCCCGTCTGCTGGGGTCTTCGGTCATCGCATCCCCCACACACACTATCACTTCGGAGCGCAGGAAAGCAGCACCCCTTTGGGGATCTGCAGAGCGGCAGAGGGAGAAAGTGTCTAACTGCCGGGAGCACGGAAAGTTATTCACGCGGGCTCTTTCATTTGTTATTGCTGCTTCAAGCAGTTTGCTAAGTGGGCTCCATGTCTGTGGCACAACCACAGATCTTCCACCACCCCCACTGCCAGGGAGAAACGCGGGACAAACGCCCCAGCATTTCGGTCCCATTCCTGCCCAGACCGGAGAGAGGGAAGGGGAGAGAGGGAAGGGCGAAAGGAAGGAAAGGTGTGTGTGTGGGAAGCAGCGACCGAGACTTACCATCTGGGAGAAGAGGCTGAGGTCGGCGGTGTAGGGCAGGAAGGCGCTGTAGTTGGGGGCGCTGTAGGGACTCGCGTACATGCCCAGCACCGAAGTGACAGCAGCCGAGCCGCTCCCCAGCTCCGCACCCCCAGGCCGGCCTGAGGCAGCAGCAGCAGCGGCGGCGGCGGCGGCGGCAGCCAGAACCCCGGGCCGCTCGCTCCCGTATACCGCCTGGCTGGCGCTGAGATACTGCGGGTAACCCAGCTGGGGGAAGGACATCTCCAGGGCGCAAACACGGCGGCGGCGGCGGCAGCAGCAGCAGCAGCAGCAGAAGTATAAAAGGGGGGAAGGAATTTAAAAAAGAAAAAAAAAGAAGGCAGGGGAGGAGGGAAACTGAGCAGCCGGAGCGGGGTGGGGGGTGGAACAAACCCCGCTGGTTCGGGTCTCTCTCCCTCGTGCCTTTTCTCTCTTTTTTTCTCTTTTTTTTTTACAGAAGTCAGGCCGGGCGAGAGGAAAATCGATCTGATAATTTTCTGTTTCGTTCTGATTTCTTTCTGTCAGAGCTGTATTGTAATGTGGGTGTGGATGAGGAGGAGGAGGAGGAGTGTGGATGGATTCAGTGGGGTGTCTTTCTTCAAATCTCGGCTCTTCTGCGCTCCTAAATCCCTTAGATGTGATCTGATCAACAATTGAGCTCCAACTGATGTGTCTGCCCTTAGGTCCTAGGCTGATCTTTCAGATACAATTTGAAGTTGATGCTTTGATTGGCAGCCACTTGAGCAGCAAGCCCCGCCCCGCCGCTCACTCACCCCCCTTGGCGAAGCACGTGGTGTTCAGCTCCGGCTCGGACACTTTCCTTGATGTGTGTGTGTGTGAGAGAGTGTGTGCGCCCGCGCAGCTGCTGTGCTGCTGCGCCTTGCGTGTGTGTATATTTAATGTTTAGCAATGGGCTCCTTTCAGAAAAGCCCCCACTGCTGTATGACAACCTGTCTACACGATTTTACAGTTGTCCAACATTGGGGTTTTGCTGTTTTGCAGCCTTAGTGTGTCCCCTTTTAACAAAAACAACTGTGCTGCTGGTTTTTTTCCACCTTTAACACTGAGTCCCCCTTGTCGTCGCCAGGCTCAGGAACAAATGAGAGTGGCGTGGGAGGAAAGGGGGCATTGCAGCCCGGCGACTGGTAACAATTTACCACTAAAAGAAAATGCTAACTATAGCAACCAGCACAAAGCCTTTCCCCACCACCCCCCAAACTCATTTTAGGGGCACCTTTTCTAGCAGGTATCCCCAGAAATCTTTAGCTACAAATACCACTAGATCTCCCCCTCTTCATCCCACCTGAGTGACATTCAGTGACAATATCAGCAGCATTGCAGCACAACCAGAACATTAGTAATAAATAATCCAGCAAATCAACCGGGATGCTCCACTGGATTTTTTTTTAATTGCAAACTTTAAAGGTCCCTGGAGTCAGTAGGGACCTAGAGGAAGTGAGTTGTTGGAAGGGTGTTGATATTTTTAAAAACAATCTTTTTGCCCCCGCCTCCTTTCTCATTTGGTTACAACAAGCTCTGCAGCAGGAGGGAAAGAGCCCCCTGTGCTGGAGGGCTTATGTAGCTGGAGATCCAGCCGCCTTAAAAAAACGAGTTGTGGTGGCGATTTGTCCGTCTAGTCTCGGGATGTGAGAAGTGGCCTCGCCTGCCCGCGTTAGCTGCGCGTTAGCCCGGGCACCCTGGGGCTGCTGCGGAACTAACTTTCCCTTTTCTGCCGCAGGGCTTCTCCTCCCGCCTGCCCTGCGCACTGCTGAGCCCCGAAGACCCGCGGGTGCTCCTGCCCTGCCGGGGCCGTGGTGTCAGGTCCAGGGGCTTCCCTCCTTGGGGCATTTTCTTTCACTTGTCTCGTGGGGGCTCCACTCGACCTCTCCGGCTCTCCGCTTTCCTAAGGTCGCCTCTCTCCTTGTCTCGCCGTGCCCTTTGCTGGGAGCTCGCCCGGCTTCTCTCAACTCTCAGCCACCACAATCTAGTTCACACGTTACTAGGGGGCTTCCCCTGCCCCGTCACGCCACAGCGAGTCCCTCTCGGACCTTTGTTTACGTTGTGGCAGGGATCCCACGAGCTCTCCCCTAGCAGGCGGGTCCCATCCATGTGAGTCCAGTGTTCCGGAAAGATTTAACAGCAACAGCAAGAAGCACAAGGCACACTCACCTGGGCTAATCCCTGCCTCCCCGGGCTCAGGGAGCCGAGTGAGATAGAGCAGCCCCCGCTCCACATTCATGTGCAGGCTTATCCTGATCAAACACGACAGTCCAAGCTCCTTTCTTTGCTATAAAGAAGAAAAAAGTGGGTACGAAGTTTTGCCTAAAAGGAGGGACAAAGACAAAAGAACCATTTGGACCTGAACTTGGTTACATTTTGCAAAACCATTTGTTTTAAGGATGTCACACTGATTTTTGAAATAAAGCATTTGCAGTAATTTCGCTTACTTTCCAACCTTATTGCGAACACGTATTCTAAGCAAGGACTCCTTATTTGTGCTTTTATTTATATATAATATTTCACAATATAACATTTATAATATTTCACATGCCCGTTTTACCCTCTGTTTTTCTCTGATCAGCCAAAGATTCACTAATTCGCTCACTAATAACATTAATGCTAATAGCACAAATAATGACTGTAAGTGTCCAGTTTCTTTGAAGTGCGCCTTTCCCCCTGCTTTTTCTTTCCTCCCCACTCTCCAGGAAACCTTTCCATTGAGGAGTTGGTTAAACTTCCTTTTTTACCGTCTCTACCATTTAGAGATAGAGACCCTACCCCCTCCACTACCAGCCTCAAACGTTGGAGAAGAACAAAAAGCTCTCTAACCCTCTAATCAGGAGAGCCATCAAACACACAAGTGCCCCTCTGTAACAAAGGTAAACGGTCCCAGAAAACTACAGCAGTGTTTTGCTAACTGAAATGTCACATTATAGGGTTGCAGGTAAATGAAGGTGGGATAAGCCATGGATACTGCCGAAATCTTCTTAGCTTTTTAGATATTGCTGGGATGTGCATCTAGAGAAGTTTCCAGTTGGAGGCTTAGGAAATATGAATCATCCCCTCCCCACTCCACTTCCACCCTGCACAGATCATTTCAGAAAATTATGTCGCTTGCTCTTCTGTCATCCAGCATCTTCTCAGGCAGAATTTTACTATAATTTCTTTATGTGAAATTTAAAAACCGGAGAAAAAGGCCGGGAGAGTCGGGAGAAGGTTGTAAACAACCATGTCTTAAAAAAAAAAGATTGGGAAAGTTTCAACGTTGGGGGGAAGAGCTTTGTTTCTCGTCTGCAAAGTTCTCAGGGTAATAGATGAGCAGCGTCCCGCGAACGCTATTAATTATTCGTAATCCTGTTCAATACAGAACAGGAGTACGTGGATCGTACTTGCATATTGGACATTGTTAATTTTACGACAGTTTAAGTCAGTCTAGTAGCCAACCTTTCAAACCCTTTTTAACGTTTTTTCCTCTGCAAGTAAGCTGGGAACAGAGCTCCTATACTAAGCTACTTAGCTTCAAAATCAGTTTAGCGAAAGTCTGGGAGATTCTGGGTTTATTTCCCCATACAAGACCTATAGCAGGGGCTTAATCACAACCAAAAATCACAAAGAACAAAAACTGTACGGAAAATTACGAACATCAGCTATTAAAAGAAACAGAAACTTCTTCCTCTGTACCCAAACAAATCCAAAACAATGAAAAGAGATCTTCCCCAAATAATTAGTCTGAAATTGTTAACTAGGTGGAATTAAAATATTGGCTTGTTAGAGGTTATTCTCTTTTCCAAATTGACCCGTGTTAAAAAAATCCTGCCTATTCCTAAAATCCTGTGTTTGAATTGTTTGAATGTCTCCTTAACTTTCGACAAAATCCTAACAAAAAAGAGCACAATGCCAATTCATTAGCTAAACACATTTTAACGACAAGAACAATCAGTCATGTAGCAAAGAAAGGAATTGGGATTAGAGTAAAAACACAGTCACCTTTCCATTGGAGAGTGGATTTACATATGAAAACAAGCAAGAGGGAAATGGGTACCAGCCTTGATTATAATGTGATTATACCTAGGGTAATTGCTTAAAATAAATTGTATACTATTTAAAACAAATCGACCTAAATGGGCACGCTTCTATAATTCAAAGATCAGTGAACAGATAAACTTCAGTTAAAAAAAGGAAACATGTTCTGAGAATGAGTTTGCCTAAAACAGTGTGGTCCTTCCAGTTTCTCAAGGCGATGCATCCACTGCCAAGAGATTTTCTTTTTTATTATTAACAAATCAGTTTAGATAGAGGTCCGATAAGAAATGCAAATCCAGACATAGGGGTCGCTGCTTGGCCGAATTTTAAAATTTAAGTCTGGTTCTGCAGCAATTGACTAAAGGGTTTGTTTGCAGAGAGGATATGTGAAAGCTTTAACACTGACTCCTAAAAATGAAGTCAGTGATTTTGATCTGCTCCAGATGTCCTAAGAGTGGATATTGCAGTGCTGGAAATCCGCACCAAATATCTGAGGGCACTGATGGTAATCAGCAGAACATATCAGGAAGGGGGGACTGGCAATTGTGATAACCTGCTGGAAATGTGCAGGGCTGGAGATGGCAGTGATAAACCGCTGAAAATATCTTCAAATTGAGATGACAGAGATGTTGAAAGAAGACACCTAAACTATAGAGAGAATAAGATGCTAAGTACAATTTGAGAATGCAGTTGGTTTATATATGTACTGGTATGCGGTTCACCGCTATAATTTTCATATAGATATGTACATTTGTGCTCTGTACAGCCATCCATATATACATGCATATAAACATGTTATTAAAATCAGGGTATATTCGGCGCTGATAATATATACAAAAATAGATGCATGCCTATTTGCCAAAGCGTCCTGTTTGTGGCTTGAGAAGAAAAAGTTTCCCCTTTTATTCTTTGTTTTGAAAGAGCCTTATATCGATTTCTTTGCAAATCCTCTCTTGATGTTTAGCTTGCACTGGTAATATGGAAAGGAATTGAAGTTGATCTGTTAAATTTATAATCTATTTTCATTTTTCTTGTGGAAATAATGCTTAGACTAAAATAAAAAGATGAAAATAATTCATGAACTGTTCTTTACATCTAACGTCCCAATCATTTACATGTGTAAGTATAAAATAGTTCCACTATCTTAAGTACCAAAACTATACACTTTAGTGATTCATTTGTGCAGCGTTGAGTCCATTACTTTAATATATCCTGCCTAGATTATAATTAAGCATTGACTGTCAAGTCTTTGGATCAGTTGACTGATTTCATTAACTGTATTATTTTTGGTATCGCATGGGACCGTATTTCATTTGACAATATGTATTTTTGGGATACCAATATCGTTAGTAATATTTCAATCGACCAAGTTATTTTTTCCCTTTCGTTGGTCATCTACAGTCAGGGCCTGCCTTCCTCGTGCATCCATCCGGCGTGCAGTTCAAGATCACTTCTCATCAGCTCTGATTTATGAGCCTTGTTAAACAGTCATTATTACTTTGCACCTTTTCCAGAAAAATCTGGGAAACAACCCCACTTTGTGACAACAAGACGTGTCAAACAATGACAGGCAGAAAGGCAATGCAATTCCAGAATCCCCTATGCACCTTCCAACCGAAAAAAAAATTTATATTTAAAGAAAATCACCTTTAGCAAAACTTCATTCACATTAGCATCTCTGATTATAAGAATTAATGGTTTGGTTTTCCAATTTATTGCAAAACAGTAATCAGACATCTTGGATATCTGGGCGATTTTCTAAATTTGAAGAGAGAGAGAGAGAGAGATTTCAAAATCTTTTACCAGTGACGAACCAGGGTGTCTGAATATACTCGTTCTAATAGCTAGGAAAGAAACTTGAAATGAACATGATAAACACAGAGTTATCACATTGTTTTAAAGAAAAAAATATTGATTTCTTTCATTTATAGATTAAAAAGAAAATAATTCTTAGGAAATCTGATGGTGAGTTATTAACAATGCTTTATTATTATATCTCCATTCTAATCTACATTAATTTTGATTCTAGAATTGATTAGATTATTTCTTTTACACATTTTATAAATTAATAGTTAAAGCTACATACAAACACAGGTGTCAGTGTATA